CCCCAAAACCCCAAAACCCCAAAACCCCGCTAGATAAAATAGAAGCTACAATGAGAAATAATTCGGAATAAAGGTTTATTTCTAGTTTGAACTTTATAATAATAAAAATATACAAATCGAAATAATGGACGCAGAAGAAGCAAGAAGAAGAAGACGTGAGAAATTACTTTAAAGAGCTAAGTAATTAGACAATCCAGATCAGTAAGAGCAAAGTAATCTAGCCAAATCAGAGATTATTGAAGATTCCTATGTTGAGAAATAGACAAATTAGAATCAAGTCAAATTAGAAACTTCGAGTTAGCACCAAGAAGCATATATGACTGAGGAAATGATAGAGAAAGGGTCTCCAAGACTAAGAAAAGATTAATGTTGTGATCATGGTCATGGACACAGCCATTCTCATAGCCATAGTGATAGTCAAGCTTAGAGTAGAAATGATGAGGATGATGAGCCAGTTGATTTCAAAAAGCTATATTAATTGTAGGAGGACAACCAAAGACACATTAAAATATAATAAGTCATTAGGTTCTTATTTAGTGCATTAACTGGAGTTTGGTTCCATCTATTTTACAATGTATTTGACTTGAAGGTCTTTAATGTCAGCTTTTTTGTGGCTATGGATATTGGTCTTATTACAATGCTAGTATATTATCAGAAGAATACCTACACCTTCAAAATTAATGTAAGATTATAAGCAATATAAATAAAATATCATTACTAACTTTAAGCCCTGCTAAATAATTATTTTAGAGAATGATAAAGTAGACTGAAAGGAAGCTATAATAAAAAGAATAAAACTAAGAAAAAGAAGAGTAGCCGGAGAATGGTTAGATAGATAAAGCGTTCGATGTCATGGATTTGATTCTTTAAAAATCAGATCAGTTAAAAACTCTCTAAAACATATGGAGCTATCTTGTAAGTGATATGATTTAATCTTAATGTAATTTAATAGAAAATTGGGAAATGGATAATAGATGATACTCTATTACACATCTGGGGAGTCATATTCATAGACAGCTGTTTGATTATCGCCAATTAGATTTTTTGAGCCGCAAAAGCTATCTTAAAACTTCTGCATATGTTAATTAGATTTGGAATATTTATCTTCCCTCATAGATTTTTATATTGACTTAAGGGGTTTTGGGGTTTTGGGGTTTTGGGG